CCTTGAGGCCACATGTGGCCCTCTAAGTCCTCAAGGGCAGCCCTTTGACTGAATCTAAACTTCACAGAACTAATCCCCTTAATCAAATGTTTTATTCTATAAAACTTGGACACAGTCAAAAGACTGTACCCAAGGACCTAGAAGGACACATGTGGCCTAGAGGGTGCAGGCTCCCTACTCCTGTTTCAGATCATTTAAAATACCTAGACAGATTTCCAGGAGCCAAGATGTTAGAGTAGGCAGTAAATCTCTGTAACTCTCCCACATTCACTTCCAAACAACCACAAAATAGCACCCCAAAACAAATCCTGAAGCAGCAGAACCAGCAAAAAGATGGGGTGAAACAATCTTTGAGCCCAAGAAACTTGTAAGATCAGCAAGAAAGGTCCATTTCGCTCATGTAAAAAGGGAGTGCATTCCAGGACAGAAAGAGTCCCAGCAAAACAGCAGCAAGTCCTACCTTAGCAAACCAGAGGTAGATTCTGAGCCCCAGTGTGGTGGAGCAGGCAAACACCAACATCAGAACTCCCTCACTTGCCTTAGCATTGTCAGGGGAACCATCAGACTCCAGCTCTGAGAACCACCATGTTCTTCAGCGTATCCCCAGGCAAAAAGATATATTCCAGCAGCTAGACCTCCACATGCTCCAGCACAGCCCAGGGCAAACATGTATCCTCCAGCAGTGCTTCAGTGTAGCCCTGGAGAAATGCAGAAACACCCCACTGGGCCTCAGCACATTCCAGACACCACCACTAGGGCTCCAGCTCAGCACAAGGTGAGCTGCCAGACCCCTATGACCGCCAGCAGCCCCAGTCACCCCCACCTCATCCCTTCAACACAGCACCAGACATGAGGGTCCCCCAGGGGCCTCAAGGCAACATCAGCACAACATCAGGTAAATAACCAGGGCCTGTAGCCACTGGCACAAAAAGGCTGAAACGGTGCCCCTGCCACCCCAGGCGCAGAGCCCAAATATAAAAGAAAGGAAAAAGGCCAACAACAACAAAAAAATGAGCAAAAAACAATAAAAAAAAGAATCTGACCACAGAAAGTTGTTATGGTGACAGGGAAGACCAAGACACAAACCCAGAAGAGGACAACAATGTCAAAACACCTGTGGGCAAAACCCCAAAGAAACATGGGAAGTGTCTCAAGCCCAGAAAAAAATCATGGAAGAGCGCAAAAATCATATAAGAGATATAAAAGAAAAAAATGGGAAAATAAATGAGAGCGATGCAAGAGAATTATGCAAAAAGAGTGAACAACTTGGAATACTGCTTAAAATTGGCTAATTAGAATTGGCCAAATGGAAAAGGAGATACAAAAACCCACTGAAGAAAACAACTCCTTAAAGAGTACAATTGGCCAAATGGAAAAGAGAGTACAAAGGCTAACTGAAGAAAACAACACTTTAAAAGTTAGAATTGGGCAAGCGGACATCAAGAATCAATCCAAGAAATTCAAAAGAATGAAGAAAATGGAAGAAAATGTAAAATACCTCATGGGAAAAACAACTAACCTGGAAAATCAATTCAGGAGAGACAATATCAGAATCATTGAACTACCTGAAAGCCATAATCAAAAGGAGGAATTGCATAGCATCTTTCAAGATATTATCAAGGAAAACTGCCCTGATGTCCTGGAACCAGAGGGCAAAAAAGACATTGAAAGAATTCACTGGGCACCTCAGGAAAGACATCCCAAAATAAAAACTACAAGGAACATTATGGTCAAATTTCAGAACTATCAGGTCAAGGAAAAAATACTACAAATGGCCAGAAAGAAACAATTTAAAATATCTAGCCAGTCTAAAATACCTGAGCATATACCTGCCGAAACAGACGCAGGAACTATATGAGCATTAACATAAAACACTGCTTATACAAATAAACTCAGATCTAAAAAATTGAAGCAATATTTATTGTTCACGGGTAGGTAAAGCCAACATAATTTTTAAAATGAGAATTTTACCTAACTAATCTATTTATTCAATGTCATCCCAATTAAATTACTAAAAAATGATTTTACTGAGTTAGGAAAAATAATAACAAAGTTCATTTGGAAGAACAAAAAGTCAGGAACTTTGGAGAAACCAAGGAAAAAAAGATGTAAAGGAAATGGATTCAGCAGTATCAGACCTTAAATTATATTATAAGATGAAAGCATTGTTGAAGTGTAAAAAAGATAATTTTGATTATTTTAAATCAAAATTTTCTTGTATAAATAAAACCTATGTAGCCAAGAACAGAAGGAATGCCGAAAATTGGGGAAAACTTTCAGGGACAATCTCTCAGATAGGGTGTGATTGGGTTGGAATATTGCTGTGGTATAGGAAATGATAAGCTGGTTGATTTAGAAAAACATGGAAAAACTTGGACTTATGAAGGAAGATGCTATCCACCTTCGGAGAAACAGATGATAGGAGGAAATACGCATAGTACAGTCTTACATGTGTATGAGTGTATATGTGTATATATGTGTATGTTTATAGATATCTATATGTGTGTGTGTGTGTGTGTGTGTGTGTGTGTGTGTATATATATATATATATATAGATATATATATATATATCTATATATATATATATATACACACTTAGTTGTAGCCTTCTTTAGGGTGGGGGAGGGAAATAAAGTAAAAAGTGTGCAGCTGAGAACAAAAGAAAACCAACAAGGAAGCAAAGGAGAGTTGGGCAGCTTTGAAAACTATGTGTAGTATTTATTATATAGGTTTTCTTGAAATGGAAATTTACTGTTTTATATTGAATCCTGTCTTATGGTCTGCTACGTATATGGCAATTTTTTTCTTTTCTCATTTTGTATTTAAGTTTAAAATAAAAAAATTTACAAAAAATGAGAGATTAGGGATTATCTTTTGCCTTTCTGTACACCCCAATGCTTAGCAATATACTTGGTACATAGATGGCATTTCATGTTTATCGATTGCCTGACTGATCTCATTCCCATTCTTCTTTTTCCTCCTCAGCACTTGAAACACTAATATGAGATATGTAGGAGGTTATCAAGAGCAAGAAGCTACAGGTGCTTCCCCATCCCTACATAGTCATTGGCCCTTGAGCCTCAAGGTCATATGCCCTAACATATGGGGAGAATGCCGATCTCTGCTACAAGGCACCACTGTTCATGTTGAGTCAGTTAGAGTGAATCATGCTTAGAGGCAAATAGAGGAACCAGAGGGAACAGAATAGATCCCTGCTCCCACGGGAACATCTTACTAAGTAACCACTTTGGTACTGTGCTTAGGTGCTAAGGCTACAAAAATGGAAACAATACACAATGCACTCTCAAGAGTTAATAAAGTGAAAGAAATGTAAACAAGCAACTGTGATTCCTGGCAGAACAAGATAAGGCTTTATTCCTACAGCAGAAAAGCGAAAAGAGGGAGAGATTATTTTTAGCTGGGGGTTGGGAAGAACTTTTATCAGGGAGGAGATAGCCCTTGATTGGGTTGAGAGAGGAGTGCATTCTAGGCAACAGTGCCCAGAGGTGGGAGAGTGCAGGGAGAGAGTGCAGAATACTCAGTAGTACACTTTGGTTTGAACATCGTGTCCCAGAAGAGCTGTTGTTCAGTCATTTCCAACTCTTCATGACCCCATTTGGTGTTTTCTTGGCAAAGATCCTGGAGTGGTTTCCTATTTTCTTCTCTCCAGCTCATTTTACAGATGAGGAACTGAGGCAAACAGGGTTAAGTGACTTGTCCAGGGTCACACAGCTGGTGTCTGCGACTGGATTTGAACTCTGGAAAATGAGTCTATTCACTGAGCCACCTTGATACTGGATAAGGGGGAGCACCACCTGAGATTCCAGAGACTGAGGAAGATTCTATCTCCCATTATAGGAGAGACCTCCCAGATGTGGGAAGAGGAAGGCCGGGCAGCTTCCTTTTCCTAAAACTTTTGGAAGGCTGCCTTGCAGACTTTTTCACAAAACTGCTACCATGAAGCTAAATCAGCCTGGGAGCCTTAAGGGGAGGCCTCATGGGTAATCCTGAGATTCGAGAGTCAGCCCCAGTCTCTCTGAGCTAGATTTCCTTGACAGCAAGCTTCTTAAAGAAGATTTTCCAGAGATGATTGCCTGAAGCTAAAAGACTAAAGCCATGTCATGAAGGGTCAGCAGATCTGGATTTTGCTGACCCATGATGTTATTGCTGCAAATTGTTCAGATGGTGCAGGTGAGAGGTGAGTGGGAAATATTTGTTCAGGGGAGTGGTGTGTCTAATGGCCTATTTGAATTCTTGACGTTTCTGTATTTGTTTACATTCTGTTGTCTCCCCCATTAAATGTAAGCTTCTTGGGGGCAGAGACTGTCTTTTACCTCTTTTTGTACCCCCAGCACTTAGCACAGTGCCTCAAACATAGTTGACACAATAAATATTTATTGCTTGATTGTTCATGAATTCCTGAGGATCCTTTTCATCTTGTGCATTTCTTATGGTGGAGGAAATAAAGTCTGTCCAATACTCAATGTTCATATTGTACATTAAGTAATTAGGTGGGAGTCAGGACCTTTGTTATCCACTTTGGGGAAATTTTAGATATGAATCATGCCTAAACCTTATTCTGGAGCTCCTAGATTAACTCTAGGTGGAGGACAATGAACCAAAAAGAGAAAATGACTCTGAGATCAGTTCTCAAAATTAGACCTAGGTCTTTGTGAGCTCAAAGTCCTTGCTGAGCTTGGGGAAAAATGAGTGGGCTGGAGTAGGGGAGTACAGGAAAAAGGAAGAGAAAGAAAGGGAGGAAGATCAATGAACAAAAGTGAAGATAAGGGGAAGAAGATATTGGAAACTGAAGAGAAAAAAGGAGAAATCCCTTTGGATTTCTAGCTACCTGTTGGTGGCTAGAATCTATCATACTTTGAAAAAGTCAGTAGTTCCCTTCTCCTGCATTTGGGTCCTGTTGAATTGGCTGAAGGTGTGGTATGTTTACCAGAAAGGAAGAAAGGAAGTGGGAGTAACTTCATTTAGCCCAGCAGTGGCATCAGACATTAATGGCTGAGGGGTGGGGCTGGGCAAACTGGCAGGACAAGTACTGGATTATTGAATTTCTTCCATTTGCCCTGGACCCACCTTCTTGGTCTATTCAAGTTGACTCTCGAAAAATGTTTGTTTCTCTTCTCTCCCCTGAATTCTCTTCTTCTTTTTGCTTGAAAACAAAAAGACAAATGGAAAAAGGGCATGTAGTTCCATGGCAAGTGCCCAGAAGAGTCTGACTCAGACTAATTTTTTTCCTCTCCGACTTTACTTCCTCCACGGACCCAGGGAAAGGGCCTTTCCTTTAATGCCCCTTGAAATCTGTGAACAGAAACGCAGGCTGAAGAATCCTGGTCGGTGATCCTAAGGTAGAGATGGAGAGGAGGGAGACACAGCAGGCCCATCTTTCCATTGGGTTATTGCTGCTGCTGCTGCTGCTGGGAACATGGAAGGAAACCCAGGCTTGTGAGTCTGAGAATAGGCTGCTTCTTTTCTACAATGGGGACTACTGGGAGAGGCACTGGAGGGATGGGGGTGGCAACTGGAAGAAACTTCAGGTAATGGGCAGGGAGGGTCTGGGTGATTTTTTTTCCTCTCTGACTTTACTTTCTCCATGAATCCAGGGAAGGGGCCTCTTCTTTATGTCCTTTGAAATCTGTGAACATAAACACAGATTGAAGAATACTGGGCCATGATCTTAGGCTCACCTGGGGTGCTCAGTTGGGGTAGGGGGACTGCAGGTTGAGGTGCTGAGTAGGGTACACTAAGGAAAATAAAGAATATAGCAGAGCTGGAAGGAAATTGGGAAATTCTGCAACTGTGACATGAAGTTGCAAAAAAAAAAAAAAAAGCGTAAGACTTCTATTCCATATCCCATCCCTAAAAGCAGAGCTGCCTGGGTACAAGTTGCCTGGAACTGATAGGTACTGTGGGACTTAGAGCCAGGAGACTTCTGTGCTTCTTTCAGACTCTGGCTAAACAGGGATAATGTGAGGTTCGGGTGGCCTATAGAGCTACCCAAATATGCTCCCCAAAGTACACAGACTTCCTGGCCAGTCGTATCAGATACTATTCTTAGAGTTTCCTGAAAGGGTTTCTTTCACATGGACATCTTCAGCCAGGCAAGCCAGTTAACCTTTTCTTCTCTCTTGGAGCAATTTTCTAGCTGGGGGATTGGAGGGAGGGGATGTGTAGAGTGAGGAGATGGGGATAGGATGCATTATTAAAATGTCCCAAATGGAAGATGGGGTTCAGTTTCTCCATTTTCCTAGTCTTTCTTCCACATCTCCTTTTGTCCCCTCCTTCCTCCATCATATAAGGGCCAGGTAGCATCAATAGCCACTCACAGAACAGTTCTGTGCACACGTGGTGGTTTGTACACTCCCTGCTGGTAGAAGTATTGAGTGCTATTTTTTATGATTTCCAGAGAGTCCCCAGCCTCTCACTACTGAGCTTGTTGTGAAGGGGTGTGAAGTTGGTGAATAGACCAATTAGAGCTTCCCTCTTGGGTCCTGCCCTCTGGCAAACCCTCATCTCCTTTCTTGTATTAGCTGTAGTTCAGTGAGTCTTTAGCTTTGTTAGAAGCAAGCCTTCAAGCTTGGATCCTGCATAGAATATGTTTCCTTGGCATGGAATCAGTAACCAAATAAACAGCATATGGTAACTAAAGAACAATACCTAATGAACATATCAAACATCTATGAAGTTGTGCTTCAAGATCACTCCTCTCCTAGAGCTAACCCTTGAAATTGCCCAGGCACAGGATCAATCTGGACTTGGGAGTGCTAGGAAATGTCCTGCTTGCATTAGTTTACTTCGCCACTGTTCCTCCCCTTTAGGTAGGCAAAGGAGTGCTCCCTGGATACTTGACATATTAGAAGAAGAGGTGGAATCTCTGGTAGTTAACTTTGGACCTGGGACTTTAGCAGGAGACTGTGAAACTTGAGAGCTGGTATAAACTGGACTTGGTGGGCTGGTACTTAGAAGAGAGACGGAATGAAAGGGGGACTATATCCAGGTTCATTGCTAATAGATCCTTGTTGGCCAACCTGGGTATTTTAGATTTTACCACTTGTTTCTTGGCCTTTCCCACTATCCTCTTATTAACTAGACATTGAATATATCAGGATGAAGACTCCCTTACTGCTTTTATTCACTTTAAGTCCCTAGCCCATTCCACCTTAATTTCAGAAGCCTAGGGAACTCCCCAAGAAACCAGAATAGGACACCCTTTGAGAGCAATGAAGTATTTTGATTAAGACACTTGACTGCCCTAGGTAAGGTTTGGTGATTGTGCTTCAGCTGTGTTGTACTGTCTAGGGAAGATATCCAGCCCCCACTGTAGCAAGTTGACTTGACCCTCTACAGAGCAAATACCCATGTGCCATAAAAGGCTGAATTTTTTTGGAATGAAAATATGCATTTGTAAAACAAAAATTAGTGTTAAGCTCTATTAAGGACAAATAAATGCATTTTGATTTTTTTGGCTGGCCACTTTGGAATAAGGAGAGTGAGGGATAACCATTGCACAACCTGGCTAAAGTCTCAAGGCATCCTGAGGGAGAGACAGGCATGAATAGGTCAGGTAGGTCAAAACACCACCACCATCATCCCTCACACCCTGATAGAGACAGTCTAGAACCCTGCACCAAAGAGCCTTGGGAATAGCAATGCTTCTGGCCCAGTGCCCTAAGACATCATCCTGGGAAGACATCTCTGTGGAGATGCCAAGTGGTAACTGCTTCTTCAAGTGCTGCAGCCGCAGCTAGTGAAGACCCAGAAAGGAAAATTCTTGCCACCAAAACTCCTGGCACTGCCAAAGAGTTCAACATCAGTGGAGGTGACATTAAAGAAGAAGCATTAGCATCTGCTTTGGTGCTGCCCCCAAAGAACCTTGGAACCTTTCCATCTGACTTGCAGCTGAAACCTTCCTTACCTGTTGTCTCCCTCATTAGACTGTGAGCTCCTACAGATTAGGGACTGTCTGGCCTTTCTCTTTACAATCCCAGTGCTTAGCATAGTGCTTCACACATAAATGTTTCGTTCATTCATTCATTCATTCATTCAGCCTGGGGGACCCTCTGGCATCCTTTATATCTCAAAAAAATGAGGAAAGCCCCAGCACACTGAGAGGACTGTGATGAATTGGTGGGAAGATACGGGCAAGAGTCACATGGGCAGAAGTGGGTAAGTTGTGACCTACATCTGCATGAATGAGAGCTAAGATTCCTTTTCATATATGAGTCATATTTAAATGCATCCTTCCTCATGTCTCATCATGTGGTACAAATCTCTGTGTGTTGTTCCCTAGGCAGCTATCTGCTGACTTCTAGTTCCAGCTCTGGAATCAGTCTTATTTGCTTTCTTTTTTTTTTTCTTTTGTATATTAGGAGAGGTGCATCTGATACTCAAGGCCATAGATTGTTTACCCTATGGCCTGATATCTTGGAGATGTTCCTGGCAGTTGTAGGGAAAGCTCTGTGCTCCATGGCTCCTGCATTTTGCTCACTGGTGGCCAAGACATTATTTCACTTGACCTCCTGGATTCCTGCCTTTACAATTGATACCTTGGAATCCTAAGCTAGACTTGACCTTGGGTTCTTCAGATCCTATCTTCCCCACAGTAGGGAACAACAGCCAGATTGTCATTTTCTGCTTAGCCTCTCCAACAGAACCCTGTTTCTACCCACGTTCCAGCATGATGGCATGAAAGCATTCTAAGAACATTTGCAACAAACTTTTGCAATGCATGAACAAATAGTATGTGGTGGGAACCCAAAGTGAAGTCAACATCTTGGAAAGAATCCAGGAAAGGTTCACTCATAAGAGAATAATGAAATAATCTACTTCCCCCAACCCTCAAGAGGAGAATGAAACAGAAAAATCCTCATCATACATTTTTTCACTTCCTGTATTTGGTGTTCAGCCAAACTGGCCTCCCTGATGTTTCTCACACAGGGCACTCCATCTCCCACCTCTGCCTTTGTGCTGACTGTCTCTTATATTTGAATTACATACCCTCCTCACCTCCGCTCTTTAGAATCCTTTGCTTTCTTCAAAACCCAGTTCAAATACAATTTTCTGCATTAAGCCTTTCCTGGTTTGTGTCCCCCTCTCCCCAGCTTTCTTTTCCTTTTTACTTTTCTTTTTCTCACCAGTACCTTTCTTTTGAAAGTAACTTTGTATTTATTTTTATATACTTGCATGTTAACCAACATGCATTTATTAAATACTTAATATTATCCAGGCATTGTGCTAAGCACTGGAGATACAAAGAAAAAGCAAAAAAAAAATTGTCTGTGCCCTCACAATCTAATAGAGGAGACAACTTACGTAAATCAAAATATACCTGATAAAGAATAGAAGAAAGGTAACCTTCAAAGGACCATTAGCAGCTAAGGAGACCAAGAAAGGCTTCCTGGAGGACGTGATGCTTAAGTCAAGAATTTAAAGGAAGACCCAGGATCTTAAGAGTCAAGAGTTGAGAGGGAGAGCTTTCTAAACACAAAGAACAGCAAGTGGTGTAGATTGACTAGATCATGGAGTGAATATTGGAAGAGTAGGAAGGGAGCAGGTTATGAAGAACTTTAAATGCCAAACAGAAGATTAATTTTATATTTGATCCTGGAGACAGGTATCTAATGGAGTTTATTGAGCAGGGCAGTGACATGAGGAGATGTACACTTTAGGAAAATCACTCTTGCAGCTAAGTGAAGGATGGATTGTGGTGGGGAGAGACTGGAATTAGGGAGTCTAATTAGTAGGCTGTTGTAATAGCCTGGGAGAGGGGTGATGAGAACCTGAACCAAGGTGGTGCCAGGGCGAATGGAGAGAAGGGGACATATATAAGAGATGTTGTGAAAATAAAAATGACAAGATTTCATAATAGATTGGATTTGTGGAGAAAAGGGTATGTATGCTAGAGATGTAATGGAGAAAAAAAATAACAAGATTTACTAAACCAACTAATTGGATAAATGAGATAGGCAAGAAAGTAAATATCAAAAATGATTATCAGTCCCACTTGGTAGAAATGTAACCTCCTTGATGGCAGAGAATGCCTTATTTTGTATTTGTATCTATCCTGAACATCTACCTCAGAGCAGACACTTAATGAATGTTCAGTGATTGATCAATTAGACCAGTCCTGTTATAATGACTTTTGATACATTATGTACAGCACATATTGCTGGAAGAGTACCATGGTACCAGAGTATAACGTAATAATATATAGAGAGATAAGTTCTTAAACTTTACAAATGGAAACTTTCAAGAATCCAGTCACTTCCATGTTGCAATGAGGTATCAGAGTAGGACTTTAGTGGAAACTAACGTTGCAAATAAGCCATAAATCCAAGAACTGGCTTTCATATGTACAGAGTAGAAAGCACTGCTGAGATTCCACAGTTACTATTAATGGTGTAACATGAAGGGGGAAAGCAGAATAAACTTAAGATCCTTAACAT